CCACTACTTCGTTGTGTGCTTTAGATAATTTTCATAAAAAAATTGTAATTACCAGGTTATGTCTATTGAAATCAGTAAAACCATGTAGTATATCTAAGAATCACTTGTGTCATAAGATTTTGTCACGTTTTTGTTACCCAAACCTACCTTTAGGGTAACAAAAACGTGACAAAATCAATAATATATTCAATAATTTTATTTTAGCTTTTTATTTACAACTGGATATTTTTTTCTGTATGGAGTTGGACGCGATAACATGCAACGATTGTTGACGGAGGTATAGTTCCTCCGTCAACAATCAGTTGTTTGTAAATATTTACAATAAATATTTAACAACTGTTTTGTCATTATAATGATGTTTAACATGTAAATAAAACTTCACACATGTGGCTTTATGTCTGTTAATTGATAAGTAATTTTACGCACGAATTGCAAAAGTAAATAAAATTCACCAGACACTAATATGTTAGAGCCTATGTTCTATTGAGAGTCCTGATATCTCTATACTATTTTGTCTCCATCTTTGTCGTCAGTTTTTATTTACTTGTTATTGATAATATTTTATTTTTAATGTTTTGGTAGTAAATGAGGAGGCTTAAAAGTTTTCCTAAGCCTCAACTACGGCTCAAATGTTCAATAAAAATAAAACGAAAGTGATGAAGTTATTATATTTTCATAGGCCAGATCATAGCTTAGATCGATTGTTTAATAGATACCGTAAGGAGATTTCTTTAAGAATGGTTATGCACACGATTTATGCAGTCATAAGAGCATGTAGCCCTGTAATTGCAAGCATTCATAATCTTTTTAAAAAAAACTGCCTCGGTGGTGACTGAACTGGTGAACCGCTGTGCTGAGGTCTCGGATCGTACAAAATGTTTGTATGAACTGCAAATTTTTGTTTCGGAGTTTGGGTGTTTTCTACGTATTAGCCTTCTATCAGTTAATCTAGCTTTCATAGTACAAGCTCTGCTTAGTTTGAAACTCGATGGCGATGTGTGTCAGGTGTCCGACAATATTATAATAAAATACAACAAGACGCCCCTGGAAACAGGGGCGTCTTGTTAACCACCAACACGGTAAAAACTTTATTTATCTCGTTATATAAAAATATCCTTGTATACAAATTATAAAATACTTTTCCTAGGTTGAGTTTAAATTATGCAGCTATTCGAGTAATTTGCTGTTACATAATACGAAAACGTTAAGTTAATTAAGGCTGGCTATACATGATTATTTTCTTTGTTTCTGGATTTGTAATGTAATTCAATTCTGTAATGAAAATTTGTTCAAAATTCAGTTTCGATTACGTCCGATCTACTCGTTCACAATATTCTCGTAGTAAAGTATTCCTTAGACTAGTAGAATACCGATTCAACTTTCGGATACAATACGATATAATCACGTTACAGTCAACGTTAGATGTTTAATACTGTACTACAAGAGTACCTTTTATGTTATCTGTGAGACCGAGAGTATATGGGACAGTATTTTGAAAGAATTTTGATTACGAGAATTGACTTTCTGCGCGATATTTACCAGGCATTTGACAAGCAGGTCGTCGTAAAGTCTGGCGAGTGAACCTTCACAATATTTATTTAACGTTTTCACATTGGGAAAAGGCTGTATCTAGTGTTGGACTACGATAATTGACGATGATCGACGAATTGCATGATGGTCTGTATGTGTATTGATTAGCACTGAATGCAATTGTGACCTTTATACTTATCACTTGTAGAATGTAATAGGCGAGTCCATGACTAGAGAGTGAGAGAGGTATTGTCAAATAATAACGGTAGTCGAGATAGTCAGAGGGAAGAAATTTTGCACCAGGGACTTCCTTTCTAGGGTATACCTGGTTCTCCGGCTATTAGTACCCGAGACGGCGTGCGGTTTTAGTCGGTTCGAGTCCGACATGCCACCGACAGGTGGTATCCGAAGGGATTTCCGCACGAAAAAAAAAAACAGGGAAGAAATTAAATAGTTAGGCGTCTAACCTCCTTGGGCCAAAACTCTAGATTTTAAGGGGAGTGGGGTTATTAATTTATATTTAGTTTGTCATTTTGCAAAATAGATAAACAGTGGGTTAACATAAATAAAACAATAATTAACGATATTTCCTTTAATATAAATGTAACCTACAAAAATAATTAAAAACATAATAAGTAAATAATAATATATATTTTTAAGTAAGTAAGTAATTTGTAAATGCATACAGAGTTGTCTTATATACCTAAATTTACAAGGAAAAACCAGTGCAACATATATACAATAGGTCGCAAATAATTGCAAGTCTTGTAGTAGATTTTGAAAATTCTTCGAAAATAACTTGAGAATCGTACACGGCCATGATTGCGTATAAAATAATAAAATAAAAAGGAAATGAAATCTTTTATTTGATTTACAAAATATTCTTGCATTTGCGATTGTGTATGCATACAAACTCGCTAGCGCTATAGCCAAATGGGATTATTAGAATCAGTAGAATATTACGTAACTATGGTGCCGTGGGATAGTTATTTTTAATGAATAAATAAATATGTCTAACATTGATTTGATTACTTTTGATTACGTTTTGTTAGTTAACAAATTACGGATCTTGAGATTTGCATAACTATGTATATTATTAGCAACGAGTTCTAATTTTTTTCATAAGTGTTATTTATACTGATATTCCTATTCGAAACCAAAATGCTAACTGAATGAACACTTGAAAGAAAATCTCTTGTACAGATGACCTCAGCAAACTAGTTTAAAATTACATTTAATTTAAATATTTATCACATGTAATATGAACTTAGTTTTAAACTAAATATTGACGTAAAACACCTGTGAATTAGAGTATCGTGTTTCATTCAATACTGGTTAGTAACAGACGCCATATGGTTTAGTTTTAAAAATGACACAGTAAAATTAAAAATAAATATAGCTGCCTGTCTTTTATTTCTATAAATTATAGAGATGTTGATACTTGAGGCTATTGGTTACAGTTAGCATCTTTGAAGTAGTTCTTCTACAGAACGTGACATGATATCGTAAAAATGTAATGTTATTTTGTAACCTTAGAGATGAAACTAAACATAATACGGACATTTGAGTTTCAAACTAAGCAGAGCTTGTACTATGAAAGCTAGATTGACTGATAAAATACTTGTATACTTTTTTTTTTTAAATACATACATATTATACATTGAAAACACCCAAACTCCGAAACAATTATTTGCGGATCATACAAACATTTGGTCCGACCCGGGAATCAAACCCGAGACCTCAGCACAGCAGTCGCATACGTTACCACTGCACCGCCGAGGCAGTCATCTGATATTACAGTCAACCTGATATTAAAAGTGAGTAGATTTCTTGTAGCTATACAACTGTATTGAATGAGCCGTTTTGAACATCTTCTTATATTTTATTGACCGGTATAACATGGTATCATCAGCCTTTAGCATCATCATTATCAACAGCCTTTAGCAGTCCATTGCTCTCCTTAAAAAGGAGGTTTTGGCCTACAATATACACAGGTCAGACGGGTTGTTATGGGCTTGTGTCAAGTTTTCCTTCTCTTTGCTATTGTCCTGCGTTGTTTGCTGCCTTAGTCGGCTCTTACGACACCCACGAGATGAATAGGGGTGGTGACACTTCGCGTTCTTAATTCGTCACTACACGGTCGGTTTTGTGTCATGACAATTTTTTTTATGTCAGTGGGGGCAGACGAGCAGACGGTCACCTGATGGAAAGTGACTATGAACGTCTGCAACTCAGGAGTCACAAAGCGTTACCGGCCTTTTAGGAAGGAGTACGCTCTTTTCTTGAAGGTCGTATTGGTCCGGAAATACCGCAAACGATAACCACAGATTGGTGGTGCGGGGCAAAAAGTGTCTCGAAAAGCGCACAGTAGTGGAGCGCCAACTATCCAGGTAATGAGGATGAAAATTTTGCCGGAATGGCGGAAATTTGCGGCGGGTATTAGTCCGAAAAATTCCCAGGAGCACTCTCCATGATATATGCGATAGAGAAAGCAGAGTGAAGCCACATCTCTACGTAACGCCAAGAGATCGAGCCGATCGGAGATGTTTGGGGTATCGACGAATCGAGTCGCTCTTCGTTGGATGCGCTCCAAAAAGAAAAAAAACCAGACAAAGTTTTTACATCTTTATTAATATTATAACACATATTGTATATAGTCTTTAAGTATTTAGAATTCCTAATTTCTGTCTGTGCGCATTTGCCTAAAAATTGTGTAAAAAAAAGTCCCTCCTCGTTTTTGACAGATTTTAGTTTGGGATAGGGATTAAGGAAAATTAAAATCGCATGTGATTATTCATATGCTTTATAAATCATATAATCACACATACGACTAATTTACAAAACCACTGACTTATTATTATTATTACGCTAACGCAAGCCTCGCGAAAAGATTAAATAAAAAAGAAAGCTCATAATCTTTGATAAATAGAATTTTGATTGATTTTAATGCCTTTAATCTTTGTTAATGACGAAATCACATAATTTAAAAGTAGCAAGCATTTCCATATCTAATTTGGAAGAGCCATGCTTCGTCACAAATGTGTCAGCTCGAGCGGAGTGGTACCACGACCTCGGAGAAAACCGGTGTTAAGTAATATTTTCATTGCTTTTCACAGAGCGAGTGAGGTCACTGGAGCCCCAAACTCTCTTCTAATTCTGAGGAGAGGAGGGATTAATAAGAGGCAATGAAAGAAAGGAAATACGTTCACTAGCCACAATGCACACACACAACAAAAAAATAGAGACAACATAAAAGAGAAAAAGAGAAGAGACACTTAGCTAAACTAAAGAATAGCACAAACAATAACAAAACGAAAAAAAATATGAAATAATAAAATTATCAATGCACTTGTGATTCTTGGAATAAAGGACGACGTACCTCGGGTCATCTACAGACGAGTAGACGACCCCCCCCCCCCCCCCCGTCTATAGGTACCCTAAAATATATTTAATGTCTTACCATTACATTCCTAATATTTCTTCTCAATTTTAAGAGAGAAGAGAGATTCTCTCTTAAAATTGGGACTGTTTTTTAACGGGTTTGACTTGTAGGTCTTTTCCTTCTTTGAAGACCACTGAAATATAAATATTTATTTGTCAATGTAGGTAAAATTAATATGAGATGTTACATATGTTATAAAATAAGTCGCTAAATTATACTCATACAAATTTTAATTATTGTTAAATCCTAATTAAAATTTACAACACAAAACATTAAATTTTATACTATATATTATAAGATCTAAAATTACACACAACTTCTCAAAAATAAACAAAAGGAACACAAATAAATTAATTTAACTTATAATCAATAAACTAAGTTGTAGAATAAAACCTTGTTTTTATGAGGAACTTTTGAAACCTTTTTTTAAATTATTTAATTCTAAATCTCTTATATCTTTGGAAAGACAACCCTTTTATAGCTATAGAAATGTAAAGGAGTGATTTTGACCTGATTTAAACTGAACTAAACTACTGAACTAAACTATTAATAACAACAAAAAAAATTAAATAATGGATAACGATTACTTGATTGAAACATAAATACATATATTTATATTTCTGTTCGCGTGTATCGGTTTTTTGATATCAATTGTGCCATCAAAACTGCTACGAATAGAGCCAATTAAGCATAGACTTACCATGTCACTACTTAACTGAGTTCAATGTGCTTACATAACTAGCTCTGTCGATTATATGTCATCAATTTGTCGATATTTCTTAACCCTTTAACGGTGCAATCAAATTGTATTACCGTTAAGTAAATAAGGCATTGAATAAAACAGTTCGTTTGATATTTTACACAATATTTTTTAATCTTTATTAATTAATATTTAAGGATTTCGGCCTTCGATAAGATTGTAAATGGGAATATAAATATATTTAAACTTTCGCAAACAGTGGTATATAATTATTAATTTGAGAATCTATGCGATCAATAGGTACGAGTATTACTCTCAGCGTGAGGTCAGAGTCAGACAATGGCCTGTGGAACATGGTCGGAACATGATAACATGATATTTATTTCTGCAAGTAAATCTTTTCAGGTAGTTTTACAAGTCGGATTTAACAGCTAGAAGGCGCCGGCATTTCTTAAGACTCATTCCGAGAAGGCCGAGGAAACATTCAAACCCAACAGAAAGTTACTAAAATTTGAACTAACATTACAAGCCTATACCATACTCACATTTAAATACTTACACAAAAAATATACTGAACAATTCAATTTCAACAAAAAAATTAACAAAATAAAAACAAGCGAATAACGAATTTAAACAAAATATTAAATGTTCGTCACTTTCAAATGTAGGAATGAGCAACATCAGTCGCGTGCAATTAGAAGTAATGTAAGAAAGAAATTAGTCTTCTCATCAGGTCAAATAATAACACGAGCGATTTTACAAAAGCAAGCTGGTCACATAACTATGTATAAAACGAACCCGAATCGAACCCGAGACCTCTGCAAAGCAGTCGCATACGCCACCACTGCACTACCGAGGCAGTCATAAAAGATTCCGTTGATTACATAATATTTCACAGAACATAATTAAATAATACAGAAATGTTTTCATTAATAATTTATTAAAAATAAAATCATTTATTAGGTGGTCAGACTGATTGATTATATTCTTAGTTGTATAATTTATAGTGGCGCCAAATATTTGCAAATATGACCTTTACTTATATACTAATAATTTCGATAGTATGTTTTTATGTTTGTTGCATCCTCAGGTTTGATTCGAAAGCTTGAAAATTTAAAAAAAGTATGTTTTATTCGTATTTTTTGTGTGATTTTACAAAAGATGTAATAAACCTTAAAAAGTAAATAAAACTTAAAATAGTGCTGAAATTCAAATAAACACTACTAAAGGTCTTTCTAGTCTAAAATCAGGCCCGCACTGATGCACCATGAGAAAAGTAGTGTTCGTAAAAGTTAAAAAATTACGATTTAACGTACATCTAAAATTCATTGTACACCCACTTAACACGCTGTCGTCATATTTTAAAAAGGTTTTTTTTTTGAAGCGGCGGTAGCTTTGTGGTTAAGGTACTTGTGATCAAGAGGTCGTGGGTTCAATTCCTGACCGGTACACTACCGACGTGAACCCACTCCACAAGCAATTTAGCTTAGCTGGAGGGATTAACAGGCATACTAGTAATTTCGGTTGCCAGTAGGCCTTTAAAACAAATGGACAAACCGCTAAGCTAATTTACAACAAAACCGAAAATATAATGATTTGTAAAATATTAGTACACAAGTATTTACTTTCGTCATCTCAAACTCACGCGCCGATTGACGATTCATTTTTTCGAAGTGATTTGTCATGTTACAAAATATCTCTTCTGAATTCATTTGTTATTATAATAACTTAAGCAGTTAAAGCTTCTTATCATGTGCATAGTCTATACTATTATAAAAGTTTGCTAGTTTGAATGCACAGGGTTATTCTAAAGAACTACTAATATGTTTTGGAAATTTTTGCATTGATAATACTACTAGCTGACCCGTGCAACTCCATCTTCTCTTTAGAAATTAATAAGTTGATTAATGATATGGCCTGTGGCCTACCTCGATAAATGAGCTATCCATCAGTAAAATATTTTTTCCATTCGAACCAGTAGTTTCTGAGATTAGCGCTTTCAACTAAACAAAGAAACTAATGATCTTTTCAACTTTAAGTACGAGTATAATGAATATAATTATTGGTTATTTTGGTAAAATTATTAATAACGAGTAAGAATTCTTACTTTGTTACGAACACGATTTTATTTTATCAGAAAACAATAAAAAGGGATGACAATATGACATAAATTTAAAAAGTTGTCAAGACACAAAAACAAACTAAAAACTTTATGGTCTATCGTATAAATTTATATTTATTCAACACTCCCACTTAAATTTATAAGGTAGACATAACAATTAACTTCAAATCTTTATAACATAATACATAGTACACATATCTCAACACTATACACTGTTTTACTCTTACTTTAATTTACAACAATCTCTGAAATGAAACATGACTCAATTCATTAAAACATAAAACTTTAGGTACTTTAAATATTTCTCATCATCTTATCTCCAATTAAATTAAATTTATTCACAGGCAAGGCTTTAGTCAGGTCTAGATACAGATGACAAGAATAACAATGCTCCCACTGCTTCTCTATATGGGAAATTATTAGGCTCATTACTGGTATTCTTATATAATTGTACATTAACATCAGCAGGAGTATTTATTATTGTCTTGATATACTGTTTTTGACTTATACTTATATAATTCTTTTCTCTATTTATTACCATACCAATAAATGCATTACAGTTTATAATTTTAATTTCAAACTTTTCTTTAAGATCATTTAACACATCGGACAAAACAACTTTACTTTTGGCCAACAACAATCCATCATCAACATAAATAATTAATATTACTTTGAAACCTTTAAAATATCTCACAAACACACAATTATCAGATGGACTGGGTTTGAAACCATAAGTAGTTAGGAAAGTACAAAATTTCTCATTCCAACATCTTGAAGATTGTTTAAGACCATAAATCGATTTAATTAACTTACAAACTTTTGAAGACTGAGTGTTCAATCCCTCAGGCACCTCCATGTATATGTCCTCAGAGAGCTCACCGTACAAGAAGGCCGTCTTGACATCAAATTGCTCTATCTGTAGGTCATCTCTGGCAGCAATACTCAGCAATACCCTGATGGAGTCGTACCTGCTAGTGGGGGAAAAAGTTTCGTTATAGTCTAAGCCCTTGACTTGTGTGAATCCTCGTGCACACAGTCGTGCTTTGTATCGTACTATTTGTACCATTTTTATTTTTCTTTATGGTGAATACCCATTTACAAGACACAGGCTTCTTCTCAGTTCGATCAGTCAATACCCAAGTTTGATTTTCTTCGTGTGACTGAAGCTCTTCAACCACAGCTTTCTTCCATTGTTGAGAATTTGGGCTATTCATTTCTTCTACATAAGTGTTAGGTATTTCCAACTCTGTGAAATTAGCTTCTAACTTATTATGACGACGAGGACGTAAGGTGATATTTCTCTGTTGTTCCTGTTCCAAATGTATACCTTTTGGAGGAATATAACTTTCATCTGAATCTTCTAAACTCTTCATACTATCATCTGAAGACATTTCTTCAAGCACATCATGTTGAGATTGAAGCTCACTCTGTGGTGTAGGCATTGTAGAATGTTCTTTTTCTTCTTGTTGAATTCTCATTTCTACAAAACTTTGGTTTTCTTCAGATGTACTACATTCATCAAACTTCACGTCTCGTGATACAGTTACCTTTCTGGTATTTTGATCAAACATTCTGTAGTTATCATGGTCATATCCAATTAATAACATCTTTACACTTTTCTTGGCAAGCTTCCTTCGCTTTTCTTTTGGAACATGTACATAACCAATAGATCCAAATATTCTGATATGTTGTAAGTTAGGTTTTACTCCATGCCACAGTTCAAATGGTGTAACATCTCCTGTTTGGCTTGATGTATTTCTATTCAACAAATATATTGCACAGTTGATAGCTTCTGCCCACAAATATAAAGGAAGGTCCTTTGCATGTATCATTGTCCTTGCAGTTTCCACGATAGAACGCATCTCTCTCTCTGCTCTCCCGTTCTGTTGTGGTGTATACGGAGCAGTACGTTCATGCGTTATTCCTTTATTCTCCAGAAATGTTGTGAATTCTTGATTTACATATTCCCAACCATTATCTGTATGAAGTATTTGTAAATCACGTTGAAACTTATTCTTCACAATTGCATTGTACTTCAGAAAACATTGAAATACTTCACTCTTATGTTTCATGAAGTAAACAAGGCGATAGCTTGTAGCTCCATCTTTGAATAAGACAAAGTACTTCGCACCAGAGACAGAAGGTTCTTCTAAAGGACCACACACATCACTGTACACAATCTCACCAGGCTGTGTTGGACCTCGGTTAGATTTCAAAAAGGGGCGTCTTGCTTGCTTCCCATATTGGCACGCTTCACAAACAAAATTCTGATTTCCTGTCAATGTAACTGGAATCACACCATTTTTACTCATGTTTTGAAGTGCTTTGACATTCAAATGTCCTAATCTTTCATGCCAAACTTTTATATCTGTTTGCACAATATTACAATTTTCTTGTTTGATTGTTTTGACATCCAATTCATATAAATTGTTCTCTGTCAATTGTGCACACATAACAACCACACTATTCTTCATAATCATTGCTTTTTCATTATCCTTTACTATTACATATCCTCTTCTAGCGGCAGCGCCTTCAGAAAACAGATTTCTTCTTAAATCAGGTACATATAACACATGTTCAAGTGTGCATCTCTCCCATGTACCATTAACTTGCTTATCTATCAGTATAGTTCCTTCACCACATACTTTGATACTCTGTTTGTTACCCAACTTAACAGAATTATTGTATTGAGACTCTTTCAACTCACAGAAGTAGTCACGCTTGAAAGTCATGTGCATTGAGGCTCCACTGTCAAGTATCCATGCCTCTTCATCATGTTCAGATGAGCAACCTTCAGCGCTTAATGCCAACATATTATTAGGTTTCTTATCATTGTATCTTTTCTTTGGCATCCTACAATCTTTAGCAAAATGACCTCTTTTATTGCAATTGTAGCATACAAATCGGTGACTTGAATTTCTTTGACCGTTTGAAGTAAACTGTTTCTTCATAAAACTTGGTTTTGACGTCACTAATGCAGTCTCATTACTACTTGTGTCGTTGGCAAGGCTAGCTTCTTCATCTACTAAGCGAGAAGTAAGGTTTTGAATTGTTTGATTATCTTCATCGAGTGACAACCATGCTTGTCTAAGCGAACGGTATGTTGATGGTAATGTGCTTAAAATCTTTGTGATTACTGCTGTGTCACTGATCTTCTCACCTGTCTCCCGTAGCTCCTTTGCCAAGCCTTCCACCTTAGACACGTGCTGTGCCATCGTATCACTAGCACTATATGAATATTGATAAAACTTTTCATGAATTAACATCTTGTTATATTCTGATTTCTGTTCATAGATTGCTTCCAACTTTGTCATAACTTCTTTAGCAGTCTCGCAGTTTTCTATAAGAGATATTTGGTTAAGATCCATGGACGATGTTAAAATGAACATGGCCATGCCATCATCTTTATCCCACTGCACTTGCGAACTGGCTTCCAAGGGTCTTGCCTTTTCTATGTTTAGGCCCTTTGCTCTTAATGCACATTTGACTTGAAACTTCCATTGTTTGAAATTTCTTCCATCAAACTTCTCAATTTTCATCGCGTTCGTAACCTCCATTATACTACGGGCAAATTTTTCACCGGTAGTAATCTTGCTCTTTACTCGAGTTTTTGTTGAAATTATTATTAGTATTTACTTATTATGTGCCTGGGCCCATAACCTATTGGTTATTTTGGTAAAATTATTAATAACGAGTAAGAATTCTTACTTTGTTACGAACACGATTTTATTTTATCAGAAAACAATAGAAAGGGATGACAATATGACATAAATTTAAAAAGTTGTCAAGACACAAAAACAAACTAAAACTTTATGGTCTACCGTATAAATTTATATTTATTCAACAATAATATAATTCTATTTGACCTCCTTTCGTCGCGAACTGAACTGACTCACAATTCGCCAGCGCCGTCAACTGCGCGCCATCGCCACCCTCTATTCCGTTCTCTACTTACCCATTTTCCCTTCCTACCTTACATCCTCATTCCAATTTCCATGTTCTAATCACAACATCTATCCGTGTGGTGACGGATTAAGAATACAGAGTGTCACCACCCCTATTCATCCCGTGGGTGTCGTAAGAGCCGACAAAGGGAGCAAACTACGCAGGACAACAGCACTGCAGAGAGAAGGAAAACTTGAAACAAACCCTATCCCAACCCGTCTGGCCAGCGTGGTATAGTAGGCCAAAACCTCTTTCCTAAGGAGAGGCCTCTGTCCAGCAGTGGACTAGTAAAGGCTGTGGATGATGTGATGTGATGAATCACAACAGAACCCACCGTTCCTCAAATAATCCACTCCTGTTATGTCCCACTTATACTTCCGCTGAGTCCACTCTCAGTTCCTAATCCAATCTGTCCTCCTTTGAAACGCTCTACCTCTCGAAATCAGGATAGGAGCCACCTGCCTCTCATTTAACACGAAAGTTCGAGCTCGCATTCTGGACACCCCAGCAGATTCATTACAACCAGCTTTAGAAATAATTTGTCTATATTATATGTATGTATGTAACTCAGCAATTATGTATATGTGTGTGTGTATTTCAGTATGTATTTATGAATATCTGTCCCACTGTTTATGTCCATCTCCTCAATTAACTATAATTATTATCTTTTGAAAATTTAATTTCTAGTGCACCTACTCAGACATTTCCCCACCACCCAAAGGTTGACGAGGAGAAAATGCCTGCGGCATTAAATCCGTCATAGTACAAGTGAGTTGTAATTTGTGCACAAAGAATTAAACTTTACTACTACGGAATGACTAAGGTGGTGACACATCATATTCTTGATCCGTCACCACACGGACGCACGACAACTCACTTATCACTCTTGTTCACAGTCACAGTCACAGGTGTTCGATGGACATAACGTTCATTGCCCACGCACCAAATATAAAGAGAAAATGAAAAGTCTTTCACACTAAATATCTCACTTAACAGAAAGTACTTCCATGTATCATAGTTTAAAACACATTCATGAAAAACATCAATGACATAATAGTATTTTTAAATACATAATTAATATTAGATAATAATTTAACTTAGAATTGGTAAATTAAAATTAGCCATGTCACAGATGCATTGTAGGTATCTGCAAAGTTACGCATCTTAAATGACTTGACACACATTCTGACAACTAACGCAATTCAAACAAATTCTAACAAAAAACTCAAACGTGCCAACCGTTAAATATTGCCATTCATTGCGTAATAACTTGTACAGTGTGTTGCATTAGCCGACTGTGGACAAAGAAAGTGCACGTCACCAAGGTCAAGGTCGGGCTGTTATACATAAAGGTTTCTTCGTCATTAATGAGTGGAGAGATCGCGCTTTTAAAATATGCGGAATAATTTTAACAAACATATACATAAATTCACGACTATATCCGAAAAGGGGTAAGCAGAAGAGTTATACATTATTTTATACATTTTTCAATTCCTAGTCCACTGGGGCTAAAATTAAAAAATGACTCCTCCTTAGAAAGGAGGTTTTAGCCTACCATACCTCGCTAGCCAGACGGGTTCTTATAGGATTTGTGTCAAGTACTCAATAGTAGTTTGCTCCCTTGTTGGGTTCTTACGACACCATTATGTATAGTGGTAACTCTCCGTATTCTTAATCCGTATGGATGAGTGGGACTTATCCATGTAGTGACACGCTACATTATCATCAGCGAGTAACATAGCTAGAGTAACTAGAGTAGTTGGGCTTCTTCTTACCGCGTTAACCGAAATAAATGCGGGCAGAGCCGCGGGCAAAAGCTAGTAAGTAATAAAGGGGCAAGCATATTGCCGTCAATTGGGTACTTTAGGTATTAGATGGAAGGATTGGAAATATATTAAAAGAAAGGTAGATAAGAAGGAAAGGTATGAAAGGGAAATTGGAGTGTAAGCAAGCTCGAGCAGGTCAAGGTCAAGGTCGAGTACCTGTAACTCCAATTGTCAATTCTAATTTGTAATCAGTGAGGTACGTAAACGTAGCCTTTTTGGTACAATTGTCTGTGAAGGACATGGAATGAACAAATGCGTGGATAATGTGGATGACGCGGCGGTTTTAGGAATCATTTTGACTCTATATTTTGTCTATGCTACTCAAAATATTTGGCAATTGAGAACGGGTTTTTCAAGATTCGATACAGGTTTATAAGATTATTTTATAGATTTTTTACAATCTTCCTTAAAATATGAAAACAGAGGTTAAAAGAAGCCTATACGTATAGGTCCATTTGAGCGTGAACAACCAACAAACATACAAACACACACACTCACAAACGTTCGCCTTTATGATATTAGTGTGATTGTACGTCAGAGTTCAGTGCTTTTAGTTGGCACCCGTCAGTTCTCAGTTTGGGTTTAAGATATCACACATATTTGTGTTAATAAAATACACTACTAAATGTAATACCCACATGTTCTATTTCCTTATAAGTTAATGCTAAATACCCATCTCTGAATCGCATTAAAGCCTTAGCAAACCA